TAGCAGGGCTGCAGCACTTCCTGGAGACGTCACACTTCAGCAGGAGGAGATTGGTCTTCAAACTCCACCCAAAAATTTGTCTTTCAGTTTTAGGTGGAAAGTGGAAGGGCAAGAACCTGTGTTGGGTTGTTATGGCTGTGTTCCCCTGGGGAGATGCCCCCCCCCCCACTTCCTGGCCTGGTGACCCCCTAAAGGAAATAGTGGAAACTCACCTTAAAGGGGGACACAGACAAGGAAATCCCCCCCTCCCCCATTGTTGAATTCAGTATTGTTTGTGGAGCCAGCCTCCGTTTTCCGCGCGTTTCTCCTGAGCTCAGTCTCCGTTTTCCGCGCGTTTCTCCTGAGCTCAGTCTCCGTTTTCCGCGCGTTTCTCCTGAGCTCAGTCTCCGTTTTCCGCGAGTTTCTCCTGAGCTCAGTCTCCGTGTCTCCTGAGCTCAGTCTCCGTGTCTCCTGACCTCAGTCTCCGTTTTCCGCGAGTTTCTCCTGAGCTCAGTCTCCGTTTTCGGCGAGTTTCTCCTGAGCTCAGTCTCCGTGTCTCCTGAGCTCAGTCTCCGTGTCTCCTGAGCTCAGTCTCCGTGTCTCCTGAGCTCAGTCTCCGTGTCTCCTGAGCTCAGTCTCCGTGTCTCCTGAGCTCAGTTTCTGTTTCCGGCGAGTTTCTCCTGAGCTCAGTCTCCGTGTCTCCTGAGCTCAGTCTCCGTGTCTCCTGAGCTCAGTTTCTGTTTCCGGCGAGTTTCTCCTGAGCTCAGTCTCCGTGTCTCCTGAGCTCAGTCTCCGTGTCTCCTGAGCTCAGTCTCCGTGTCTCCTGAGCTCAGTCTCCGTGTCTCCTGAGCTCAGTCTCCGTTTCTCCTGAGCTCAGTCTCCGTTTTCGGCGAGTTTCTCCTGAGCTCAGTCTCCGTTTTCGGCGAGTTTCTCCTGAGCTCAGTCTCCGTTTTCGGCGAGTTTCTCCTGAGCTCAGTCTCCGTTTTCGGCGAGTTTCTCCTGAGCTCAGTCTTCGTTTTCCGGCGAGTTTCTCCTGAGCTCAGTCTCCGTGTCTCCTGAGCTCAGTTTCCGTGTCTCCTGAGCTCAGTCTCCGTGTCTCCTGAGCTCAGTCTCCGTGTCTCCTGAGCTCAGTCTCCGTGTCTCCTGAGCTCAGTCTCCGTGTCTCCTGAGCTCAGTTTCTGTTTCCGGCGAGTTTTCTCCTGAGCTCAGTCTCTGTTTTCGGCGAGTTTCTCCTGAGCTCAGTCTCCGTGTCTCCTGAGCTCAGTTTCCGTTTCCGGTGAGTTTTTCCTGAGCTCAGTCTCTGTTTTCGGCGAGTTTCTCCTGAGCTCAGTCTCCGTGTCTCCTGAGCTCAGTTTGTCTCCTGAGCTCAGTTTCCGTTTTCCGGCGAGTTTCTCCTGAGCTCAGTCTCCGTTTTCGGCGAGTTTCTCCTGAGCTCAGTCTCCGTTTTCGGCGAGTTTCTCCTGAGCTCAGTCTCCGTTTTCGGCGAGTTTCTCCTGAGCTCAGTCTCCGTTTTCGGCGAGTTTCTCCTGAGCTCAGTCTTCGTTTTCGGCGAGTTTCTCCTGAGCTCAGTCTCCGTTTTCGACGAGTTTCTCCTGAGCTCAGTCTCCGTTTTCGACGAGTTTCTCCTGAGCTCAGTCTCCGTTTTTGTCGAGTTTCTCCTGAGCTCAGTCTCCGTTTTTGACGAGTTTCTCCTGAGCTCAGTCTCCGTTTTTGACGAGTTTCTCCTGAGCTCAGTCTCCGTTTTTGACGAGTTTCTCCTGAGCTCAGTCTCTCCGTTTTTGACGAGTTTCTCCTGAGCTCAGTCTCTGTTTTTGACGAGTTTCTCCTGAGCTCAGTCTCCGTTTTTGACGAGTTTCTCCTGAGCTCAGTCTCCGTTTTTGGACGAGTTTCTCCTGAGCTCAGTCTCCGTTTTTGACGAGTTTCTCCTGAGCTCAGTCTCCGTTTTTGACAAGTTTCTCCTGAGCTCAGTCTCCGTTTTTGACAAGTTTCTCCTGAGCTCAGTCTCCGTTTTTGACGAGTTTCTCCTGAGCTCAGTCTCCGTTTTCCATGAGTTTCTCCTGAGCTCAGTTTCCGGTTTCCATGAGTTTCTCCTGAGCTCAGTCTCCGTTTTCCATGAGTTTCTCCTGAGCTCAGTTTCTGTTTCCGGCGAGTTTCTCCTGAGCTCAGTCTCCGTTTTCCACGAGTTTCTCCTGAGCTCAGTCTCCGTTTTTGACGAGTTTCTCCTGAGCTCAGTCTCCGTTTTCCATGAGTTTCTCCTGAGCTCAGTCTCCGTTTTCCATGAGTTTCTCCTGAGCTCAGTCTCCGTTTTTCATGAGTTTCTCCTGAGCTCAGTTTCCAGTTTCCATGAGTTTTCTTCTGAGCTCAGTCTCCGTTTTCCATGAGTTTCTCCTGAGCTCAGTTTCCGGTTTCCATGAGTTTCTCCTGAGCTCAGTTTCCGGTTTCCATGAGTTTCTCCTGAGCTCAGTCTCCGTTTTTCATGAGTTTCTCCTGAGCTCAGTCTCCGTTTTCCATGAGTTTCTCCTGAGCTCAGTTTCCGGTTTCCATGAGTTTCTCCTGAGCTCAGTCTCCGTTTTTCATGAGTTTCTCCTGAGCTCAGTTTCCGGTTTCCATGAGTTTCTTCTGAGCTCAGTTTCCGTTTTCGACGAGATCCTCCTGAGGACATTGATTATTTCTGCCTGGGGCTGTTGGGTTGTCTCCAGTCATTGGTGGGAAGTAACAATGTACCTAGATATGAATATCTACCTGCCTTAGCCAATCACAGAGGGCTTTTTGTCCAGAGATGTGGGCTGACGGAAGGTGATATGTTTTTGGGGGGGGGGGGGGGGGGGACCTACAGAAAGTTCTCTCCAGGGCTTCTGCCTGGTGAGGACCCCACAATGAAGAAGGGTCTTCTCCCACAGGCTGAAGACCTAGGGGATCCAAGCTGTCCCACTCAAGGTCACATCTAGGGGGGGAGAAGATGGTTGTCTGTATGGAGTTTCTCAGGAGATGTCTTCTGTGATGAATGCCTGGGGAATCTAACCTGTCCTCTTGGAGGACATCTAGGAGCAGAATAATAAGTTGGGTGTCTGCATAGCGCATCTTAGGAGACATCTACTGCTCTGAAGACCTGGGGAACCTAAACTGTCTTGAGAGGATGTCTTCTGCTGGAGAACACATCTAGAGGAAGCGGAGCAGGAAGATAGGTACCTTTTTGGAGCATCTTAGAAAACTTCTGTGCTGAAGGCATGGGGAATCTAAGCTGCCCTGTTGGAGGACATCTAGAGGGAGCAGAATGGGAAGATAAAAGGTCTGTATGGAGTATCTTAGGAGACATCTTCTGCTCTGTAGGCCTTGGGAATCTAAGCTCTCCTGCAGGACACAAGTAGAGGGAGCAGAGCAGGAAGATGGATGCATGTATGTATGGAATGTCTTAGGAAGAGGTCTTGCACTGGAGGACATATCTAGAGGGAGTGGAGCAGATCACTACCTGTATGGAGTTTCTTAGAAAACGTTTTCTGTGCTAAAGACCTAGGGAATCTAAACTGTCCTGTAGGACACCTCTACAGGGAGTGAAGCAGGAAGATCAGTGCCTATATGGATCATCTCAAGAGACATCTTCTGTATCGAAGGCCTAGGTAACCTAAGCTGTCCTGTAGGCCAGCTCTGTAGGGAGTGGAGCAGGAAGATGGGTGCCTGTATGGATCATCTCAGAAGACATCTTCTGCTCCAAAAGCCTAGGGAATCTAAGCTGTCCTGTGGGTGGACATCCAGAAGAGCAGATCAGAAGATGGCTGCTTGTATGGAGCATCTTAGGAGATATCTTCTATTCTAAATACCTGGGGAATCTAAGCTGTCCTGCTTAAGGGCACATTGAGAGGAAGTGGAGCAGGAAGATGGTTGCCTGTATGGAACATCTCAGGAGACATCTTCTGCTCTGAAGGCCTAGAGCATCTAAGCTGTCCTGTAGGACACTTCTATAGGGAGTGGAGCAGGAAGATGGTTGCCCGTATGGATCATCTCAGGAGACATCTTCTGCTCCGAAGGCCTAAGGAATCTAATCTGTCAGGCAGGACACCTCTATAGGGAGTGGAGCAGGAAGATGGCTGCCTGTATGGATCATCTCAACCAACCACAATGCTCTACTGGGAGCCCTGGGATATTTGGCCATTCTTGAGTGTCCCGTACCCCTAAATTCCTCTCCATTATTGGGCAAAATTCAGGTTGACTGGAGCCCAACTCGTTTGTTGCCCCCCCCAGAAGCCAAGGACTAAACCCCGAGAAGGTGAAGAAAAGCCCTCCACACCATCCTGGGGGTCCTCCTCACCCAGAGAGGAGAAGGTCTACAAGGGAGTGAAATGTCGCCATGGCAATGAAGAGCCCAAGTCACCCAATGATTTCATAAAATTTTAATTTGGCATCAGCTGATCCTCGGACCCCTCCCCCATACTGTGAGGGGCGGGGATAGTCCAAGACAAAAGAACATGCTTTATCCAGTTAACACAACATACATGTAAACATGAGGCATGCACACCCCGTGACACGACAGCTACAGCGGGCGATACAGCCCCCTCCACAGGCACTGACACAATGGCACAGACAGGACAGGGGAATCCTGAGTACGGGGGGGATCCGCCGGTATAGAAAGGAGGTGGAGTGACACCATCACAGCACAGCCTGGTGCAGGCCAGTAAGGTGTCACCACCACGCTCCGCCCCCAGACAGCGCCACGCACACATCACAGGACAGGATGTTAATACAGACACACAACGCGTGTTACATGTAGAGCGGGGCCCCTCCCACAGTCACCAGGAAGGGGGCAGTGTTAATGGAGAGCTGGGCCCCTCCCACAGTCGCCAGGAGTGGTAATGGAGAGCAGGCTCCTCCCACAGTCGCCAGAGAAGGAGTGGTAATGGAGAGCAGGCTCCTCCCACAGTCGCCAGAGAAGGAGTGGTAATGAAGAGTAGGCTCCTCCCACAGTCACCAGGGAGGGAGCGACAGAGCGGTGTACGCCCACCAGTTGGCACTACAACCATTTTCCTTTATTGGGGCTGGAAGGCGTTGTGGGCGGCGCCCGCGGCTGCTTGGGTGGCGGCCGTGCGCACGGCTTGGTTGGAGAAGACACCGGCGGCGAACTCCTGCTGAGCCTTCTGGAAGCTGGCGCCGGTCCGGCGATAAATGGAATGGACCTGAGGAGGAGAAAACATGGCGTCAGCTGAAGTTCCGGCCAATCTCTACTGTTCCGTGTCCTCCACAACCCTCCCCCACAGCCTCCATATTGGAATCCTCCCCATCTACCCTTTGATGTTGCCCATAACAGAGGGCCAATGGGAAGGCTCAAAGGAAGGGAGAGGGAGGAGCCAAACGGAATATTTAGGTGATCAGGACATGACTTCAGCTGCCCGTATCCGAGCCGATCGCTCTGAGCTCCTCTTACCCGCTTCAGCATGACGATCCCCATGGCGGCCGTCCCGGTCAGGAAAGCTGCGACAATGATCATCAACACCGCGACGCCAACGCTCTTCTTCATGGCGGTGAAAGCAGCGATCCAGCCGCTGGAAGAGAAAAGCGCAATGAGAGGCGGCGGCCAGACGCCATCCTCCGCCCATTGACATCGATCGACCAATAGCAGGTTTAGGATCATTTCACCACTAAATTCAGTGTTTAGTTTATGGAATGGCGGGAGGACATGGGCGGGGCACGGGAGGGGGGACATGGGCGGGGCACGGGAGGGGGGACATGGGCGGGGGGACATGGGGGGACATGGGTGGGGCAACGGGAATACAGGAGGGGACATGGGCTTTTGGGGCAGGGATAGATCGCCATATCCAGGGGGGACAACTGCGGGCCCCGACGGGTGGAGACCCAACGCTGAAGCCCCGAGGAGGGAGGAGCCAACGGTGCCTTTTGCCCCGACGAGGGAGGAGACCCAACCGCCAGCTCCCCGACGAGGGAGGAGACCCAACCGCCAGCCCCGACGAGGGAGGAGACCCAACCGCCAGCCCCGACGAGGGAGGAGACCCAACCGCCAGCCCCCCCGACGAGGGAGGAGACCCAACCGCCAGCCCCGACGAGGGAGGAGACCCAACCGCCAGCCCCGACGAGGGAGGAGACCCAACCGCCAGCCATTCATTCTACATCTCACCATAACAAACGATTGGATAATAGGAAGGACAACTAAAGATGGCGGCTCGTCCAACCTCTACATCTACAGTGGAGTCACCCAACACCCAGCTTGTTCCATCCATGGAAACACCCCAATCTGACCCAACACCCCAATCCGCAGGACAGGCACACACCCCAATGTCCACCCCACACTCGCCCCATGGTCAGCCCTCTCACCTGAAGCCCCATCCGGGGATGCCGATGGCCTGCAGAACGTAGAGAACATCCTGAACGAAGAAGATGAAGAAGAAGAGGAAGAAGTTGAAGGAGCTGTCACTCCTGTGTGGGGAGAAGAGAGAGGTCAGAGCGGGGACCACCACACCCCATCCCGGGGCCACCGCACCCCATCCCGGGACAGACCCCGGCGGCGGAGAGCACCCCAGAGCGGGGACCACCTCACCCCATCCCGGGACAGACCGCGGCGGAGAGCCCAGAGTGGGGACCACCTCACCCCATCCCGGGACAGACCGCGGTGGAGAGCACCCCAGAGCGGGGACCACTTCACCCCATCCCGGGACAGACCGCGGCGGAGAGCCCAGAGTGGGGACCACCTCACCCCATCCCGGGACAGACCGCGGGGGAGAGCACCCCAGAGCGGGACCCACCTCACCCCATCCCGGGACAGACCGCGGCAGAGAGCCCAGAGTGGGGACCACCTCACCCCATCCCGGACAGACCGCGGCAGAGAGCCCAGAGGGGGGACCACCTCACCCCATCCCGGGACAGACCGCGGCAGAGAGCCCAGAGCGGGGACCACCTCACCCCATACCGGGGCCACCGCACCGCATCCCGGGGCCACCTCACCCCATCCCGGGCCACCTCACCCCATCCAGGGACAGACCGCGGCAGAGAGCCCACTCATAATACAGAAGCTGAATCCTAGAACCGGCCAGACAGAGCAGACAGCAGACCGACCGGGGACATGGAGGGGTCCGGGGCACACACCTGAACGCCTTGTAGAGAGGTCGGTACCAGCAGATGAAGGAGCACGGGGTGAAGAGGACAACCCACAGGATGGACATTCCGAACCCGGGGCCCTGATCTCCGTCCACGATGAACCACGCCAGACATGCCAGGAAGTTCAGGAGCAATGTCCCCGCACTGACTGCACAGGGGAAGAGAACAGACCAATCAGAACAAGGGGAGGCGCCAAAACCTAAACCCCTCCCCCAATACACAGCAAGGTGCGGCATCAGAGATCTCACCCATCCACATGTAGTACATGATCTTCACCGTCTTCTGGAAGTCATGAGGGATGTCCACCCCGATGTCCTGGTAGAAGCATGGCTGGACGGGGCAGAAGGAGGGCAGCGGGGCCAATTATTCTGCCTCCCTGGGGGGGGGGGGGGGGGGAAGATAGAGGGGAGGAGCTTAGGTCTACAGACAGTGGGGGCTTCGTACAAGCTTCCCCCCCACTCTACTGACCCCAGCACCCCCAAAATACTGACCCCAGCACCCCCCCAACATACTGACCCCCAGCACCCTCCCCCCCGCTTACTAACCCCCAGCACCCCCCCCAAATCCAGCCCCCCAACATACTTACCTCAGGCAGCACCCCCCCTTCACATAGTGACTCCAGCACCAGCACTCCCCCCCCCAATCCAAACCCCCAACATACATGACCCCAGCACCCCCCCCCCCCAACATACTGACCCCAGCACACCCCCCAACATACATGACCCCAGAACCCCCCCCCCCCCGAATCCAGCCCCCCAACATACTGACCCCCCAGCACCCCCTTCACATACTGACCCCAGCACCCCCCCCCCGAATCCAGCCCCCCAACATACTGACCCCAGCACCCCCCCCCCCCAACATACCAACCCCCAGCAGCCCCCCTTCACACTGACCCCATCAGCAGCACCCCCCCCCCCCCAACATACTGACCCCACACCCTCCCCCCACAACAACAGCTGACCCAGCACCCCCCCCCCCCCCAACATACTGACCCCAGCACCCCCCCCCCCCCCCCCAAACATACTGACCCCAGAACCCCCCCCCCCCCCGAATCCAGCCCCCCAACATACTGACCCCAGCACCCCCCTTCACATACTGACCCCAGCACCCCCAAAAACATACTGACCCCAGCACCCTCCCCCCCGCATACTAACCCCAGCACCCCCCCCAAATCCAGCCCCCCAACATACTTACCTCAGCACCCCCCCCTTCACATAGTGACTCCAGCACCTCCCCCCCCCCAATCCAACCCCCCAACATACTGACCCCAGCACCCCCCCCCCCCAACATACTGACCCCAGCACCCCCCCCCCCCAACATACTGACCCCAGAACCCCCCCCCCGAATCCAGCCCCCCAACATACTGACCCCAGCACCCCCCTTCACATACTGACCCCAGCACCCCCCACCCCCGAATCCAGCCCCCCAACATACTGACCCCAGCAACCCCCCCCCCCAACATACCAACCCCCAGCAGCCCCCCTTCACATACTGACCCCCAGCACCCCCCCCCCCAACATACTGACCCCAGCACCCTCCCCCCCGCTTACTAACCCCAGCACCCCCCCCCAAATCCAGCCCCCCTGGACGGGGCTGGACGGGGCAGAAGGAGGCAGCGGGGGGCCAATTATTCTGCCTCCCTGGGGGGGGGGGGGGAAGAGAGAGGGGAGGAGCTTAGGTCTACAGACAGTGGGGGCTTCGTACAAGCTTCCCCCCCCACTCTACTGACCCCAGCACCCCCCCCCAAATCCAGCCCCCAACATACTTACCTCAGCACCCCCCCTTCACATAGTGACCCAGCACCTCCCCCCCCCAATCCAACCCCCCAACATACTGACCCCAGCACCCCCCCCAACATACTGACCCCAGAACCCCCCCCCCCCCCGAATCCAGCCCCCCAACATACTGACCCCAGCACCCCCCTTCACATACTGACCCCCAGCACCCCCCCCCCCCGAATCCAGCCCCCAACATACCAACCCCAGCAGCCCCCCTTCACATACTGACCCCAGCACCCCCCCCCCAACATACTGACCCCAGCACCCCCCCCCCACCAACATACTGACCCCAGCACCCCCCCCCCCCCCAACATACTGACCCCAGAACCCCCCCCCCCCCCCCGAATCCAGCCCCCCAACATACTGACCCCAGCACCCCCCTTCACAACACCTACTGACCCCAGCACCCCCCTTCACATACTGACCCCAGCACCCTCCCCCCCGCATACTAACCCCCAGCACCCCCCCCCCAAATCCAGCCCCCCAACATACTTACCTCAGCACCCCCCCCTTCACATAGTGACTCCAGCACCCCCCCCCCCCAATCCAACCCCCCCAACATACTGACCCCAGCACCCCCCCCCCCAACATACTGGCCCCAGCACCCCCCCCCCCCCCAACATACTGACCCCCGAGCAACCTCCCCCCCCCAACATACCGACCCCAGCAACCCCCCCCCCCCAACATAACCAACCCCCAGCAGCCCCCCTTCACATACTGACCCCAGCACCCCCCCCCCAACATACTGACCCCAGCACCCCCCCCCCCACATACCCCCCCGCACCCCTATCTTCATACTGACCCCCAGCACCCCCCCAACATACTGACCCCAGCACCCCCCCAACATACTGACCCCAGAACCCCCCCCCCCGAATCCAGCCCCCCAACATAAGTGACCCCAGCACCCCCCTTCACATACTGACCCCCTGCACCCCCCCCCCCAGAATCCCCAGCCCCCCAACATACTGACTGAGGAGGGGATCCCCCCCCCTGCACCCCTTGATCACAGGGGATCCCCCAATCACATATTGACCCCAGCACTCCCCCCCCAAATCCAACCCCCCAACATACTGTGATCACAGGGGATCCCCCATGTCACAACAGGAGGGGGAGGGGTCCGCTGACCCCTTGCACCCCCCCACATTGCACTCCCAAGCTTCCCCCCCCCCCCCCATGACCCTCACAGCAGCACAGCCGGTGTGATCACCCCCAATCAGAAGTTGATCCTGCGCTCAGCCCCCCCTGGAACCCCCATTTCCTAAACACATGGTGCCCCCCTTACCCGCAGATCCCCCCAGAGCCGCACTCTGCAGGTCCCGATCACCAGGGATCCCGCCGGTCCAGCTCCTCCGCTTTCCGGGGATCCCCCAGTTCCTCCTGGACGTCGGAGGAGATCCGCTGTGGCTGGGATCTGTGTTTCCCCCAATTCAACACAAGCAATAGAATGTGGGATCCGGTGTGATCACAGGGGATCCCCCAATATAACAGGAGGGGGAGGGGGTGGATATGTGGGATCCGGTGTGATCACAGGGGATCCCCCAATATAACAGGAGGGGGAGGGGTGGATATGTGGGATCCGGTGTGATCACAGGGGATCCCCCAATATAACAGGAGGGGGAGGGGTGGATATGTGGGATCCGGTGTGATCACAGGGGATCCCCCAATATAACAGGAGGGGGGAGGGGTGGATATAACGTGGGATCCGGTGTGATCACAGGGGATCCCCAATACACCAGAGGGGGGGGGGGGTGGATATATGTGGGATCCGGTGTGATCACAGGGGATCCCCCAATATAACAGGAGGGGGAGGGTGGATGGATATGTGGGATCCGGTTTCCGTGATCACAGGGGATCCCCAATCAATACACCAGGAGGGGGAGGGGTGGATATGTGGGATCCGGTGTGTGATCACAGGGGATCCCCCAATATAACAGGACGGGGAGGGGTGGATATGTGGGATCCGGTGTTTTGTGATCACAGGGGATCCCCCAATATAACAGGAGGGGGAGGGGTGGATATGTGGGATCCGGTGTGATCACAGGGGATCCCCCAATATAACAGGAGGGGGAGGGGTGGATATGTGGGATCCGGTGTGATCACAGGGGATCCCCCAATATAACAGGAGGGGGAGGGGTGGATATAACGTGGGATCCGGTGTGATCACAGGGGATCCCCAATAACACCAGGAGGGGGAGGGGTGGATATGTGGGATCCGGTGTGATCACAGGGGATCCCTCAATATAAACAGGAGGGGGGAGGGTGTGGATATGTGGGATCCGGTGTGATCACAGGGGATCCCCAATACACCAGGAGGGGGAGGGGTGGATATGTGGGATCCGGTTGTGATCACAGGGGATCCCCAATATAACAGGAGGGGGAGGGGTGGATATAACGTGGGATCCGGTGTGATCACAGGGGATCCCCAATACACCAGGAGGGGGAGGGGTGGATATGTGGGATCCGGTGTGATCACAGGGGATCCCCCAATATAACAGGACGGGGAGGGGTGGATATGTGGGATCCGGTGTGATCACAGGGGATCCCTCAATATATAACAGGAGGGGGAGGGGTGGATATGTGGGATCTGGTGTGATCACAGGGGATCCCCCAATATAACAGGAGGGGGAGGGGTGGATATGTGGGATCCGGTGTGATCACAGGGGATCCCCCAATATAACAGGAGGGGGAGGGGTGGATATGTGGGATCCGGTGTGATCACAGGGGATCCCCCAATATAACAGGAGGGGGAGGGGGGATATAACGTGGGATCCGGTTGTGATCACAGGGGATCCCCAATACACCAGGAGGGGGAGGGGTGGATATGTGGGATCCGGTGTGATCACAGGGGATCCCTCAATATAACAGGAGGGGGAGGGGTGGATATGTGGGATCCGGTTGTGTGATCACAGGGGATCCCCAATACACCAGGAGGGGGGAGGGTGGATATGTGGGATCCGGTGTGATCACAGGGGATCCCCCAATATAACAGGACGGGGAGGGGTGGATATGTGGGATCCGGTGTTGTGATCACAGGGGATCCCCAATATAACAGGAGGGGGAAGGGTGGATATGTGGGATCCGGTGTGATCACAGGGGATCCCCCAATATAACAGGAGGGGGAGGGGTGGATATGTGTGGGATCCGGTGTGATCACCAGGGGATCCCCCAATATAACAGGAGGGGGGGAGGGGTGGATATAACGTGGGATCCGGTGTGATCACAGGGGATCCCCAATACACCAGGAGGGGGAGGGGTGTGGATATGTGGGATCCGGTGTGATCACAGGGGATCCCTCAATATAACAGGAGGGGGGAGGGGTGGATATGTGGGATCCGGTTTTGTGATCACAGGGGATCCCCAATACACCAGGAGGGGGAGGGGTGGATATGTGGGATCCGGTTTTTTGTTGTGATCACAGGGGATCCCCAATATAACAGGAGGGGGAGGGGTGGATATAACGTGGGATCCGGTGTGATCACAGGGGATCCCCAATTACACCAGGAGGGGGGAGGGTGGATATGTGGGATCCGGTGTGATCACAGGGGATCCCCCAATATAACAGGACGGGGAGGGGTGGATATGTGGGATCCGGTGTGATCACAGGGGATCCCTCAATATAACAGGAGGGGGAGGGTGGGATATGTGGGATCTGGTGTGATCACAGGGGATCCCCCAATATAACAGGAGGGGGGAGGGGTGGATATGTGGGATCCGGTGTGATCACAGGGGATCCCCCAATATAAACAGGAGGGGGAGGGGTGGATATTAACGTGGGATCCGGTTGTGATCACAGGGGATCCCAAATACACCAGGAGGGGGAGGGGTGGATATGTGGGATCCGGTGTGATCACAGGGGGATCCCCCAATATAACAGGAGGAGGGGGAGGGGTGGATATGTGGGATCCGGTCCCCCATATAAACAGTGATGGCTGTAGACCCCCCAGATGGGGCGGGGTGGATATGGGATCCACAGGTGTGATGGCTGGATATGTGGGACCCCCCCAGATGGGGCGGGGGAGGGATCCGGTATGATGGCTGTAGACCCCCCCCAAATGGGGGGGGGGGAAGGGTAGATCTTCCTCACCTGGGTTCCATACGATCCGTAGTTCTTGGGTTCGGGGGGGCTGGCTCTTCTTCCCCGGGGGGGCAGCTGGCTGTGCCGGGACTGTAGGAAGAGTAGCCGGAGCCGGAGATGCGGACTGCTCGTGGTACGGGGGAGGGGATCTGGGGGGCGGAGCACACAGGAAGGGATCATTTTGCTGTATTTCTGGCGGGATCAACAAAGAAACTTGTAGAAATCAGCTGAATGGTAAACCGGGAGAGAGCCAATCAGAGGAGAGGAATTACACGGAGCCGGGTCATGTGACGTATACATTCCATACACACCCCATGTGTCTACAGGGGGGACGACAACCCCTCTAGGGTGGGTGGAGTCAGGTCCGGGGGCCCCCTCTAGCTGGGTGGAGTCAGGTCCGTGGGGGGGCACCTCTAGCTGGGTGGAGTCAGGTCCAGGGGGGGGGGGGCACCTCTAGGTGGGAGGAGTCAGGTCCGGGGGGAGCACCTCTAGGTGGGAGGAGTCAGGTCCAGGGGGGGGGGGCACCTCTAGGTGGAGGAGGGTCAGGAATACCCGGGGGGGGGGGGTGTCACCTCTAGGTGGGAGGAGTCAGGTCCAGGGGGGGGGGCACCTCTAGGTGGGAGGAGTCAGGTCCAGGGGGGGGGGGGCACCTCTAGGTGGGAGAGTCAGGTCCAGGGGGGGCGGCACCTCTAGGTGGGAGGAGTCAGGTCCAGGGGGGGGGGCACCTCTAGGTGGGGAGGAGTCAGGTCCAGGGGGGGGGGGCACCTCTAGGTGGGAGGAGTCAGGTCCAGGGGGGGGGCACCTCTAGGTGGGAGGAGTCAGGTCCAGGGGGGGGGGGGGGGCACCTCTAGGTGGGAGGAGTCAGGTCCAGGGGGGGGGGCACCTCTAGGTGGGAGGAGTCAGGTCCAGGGGGGGGGGCACCTCTAGGTGGGAGGAGTCAGTCCAGGGGGGGGGGCCACTCCAGGGGGGGGGGCACCTCTAGGTGGGAGGAGTCAGGTCCAGGGGGGGGGGCACCTCTAGGTGGGAGGAGTCAGGTCCTGGGGGGGGGCAACCTCTAGGTGGGAGGAGTCAGGTCCTGGGGGGGGGCACCTCTAGGTGGGAGGAGTCAGGTCCGGGGGGGGGGGGCACCTCTAGGTGGGAGGAGTCAGGTCCGGGGGGGGGGGGGCACCTCTAGGTGGGAGGAGTCAGGTCCGGGGGGGGGCACCTCTAGGTGGGAAGGAGTCAGGTCCGGGGGGGGGGCACCTCTAGGTGGGAGGAGTCAGGTCCGGGGGGGGGGGGGGCACCTCTAGGTGGGAGGAGTCAGGTCCGGGGGGGGGGGGGGGCACCTCTAGGTGGGAGGAGTCAGGTCCGGGGGGGGGGGGGGCACCTCTAGGTGGGAGGAGTCAGGTCCGGGGGGGGGCACCTCTAGGTGGGAGGAGTCAGGTCGGGGGGGGGCACCTCTAGGTGGGAGGAGTCAGGTCTGGGGGGCACCTCTAGGTGGGAGGAGTCAGGTCTGGGGGGGGCACCTCTAGGTGGGGGGGGGGGGGGGCACCTCTAGGTGGGAGGAGTCAGGTCTGGGGGGGGCACCTCTAGGTGGGAGGAGTCAGGTCTGGGGGGGCACCTCTAGGTGGGAGGAGTCAGGTCTGGGGGGCACCTCTAGGTGGGAGGAGTCAGGTCCAGGGGCCCCCTCTAGGTGGGTGGAGTCAGGTCCAGGGGGGGGGCACCTCTAGGTGGGAGGAGTCAGGTGTGGGGGGGCACCTCTAGGTGGGTGGAGTCAGGTCCAGGGGGGCCCCCTCTAGGTGGGAGGAGTCAGGTCCAGGGGGGCCCCCCTAGGTGGGAGGAGTCAGGTCCAGGGGGCGGAGCCTGGTACTCACCCCCGGGTATCGAAGGGGTTGTAGACATCCAGGGTGGCGTACTGGTTGCCGGGGCGATGCTCCACCACAGCCGGGTCCTGGAAGAGAGAAAACATGGAGTGTCCTGAGATTCCCGCAGCCCCCTCCACTTCCTGTGTCAGGTGACAACACTTCCTGATCAGGGTCGGCGTTGTCACCGGCCCCGCCGTCTCCATGGTGACCCCGAGACTTGCACAGCACTGGGGACAGACAAGCAGCATGCAGCCAGTGAAGTCACCCCGGGGGCCCCTCACCTGGAACGGATTGTCCACCTCCCCGAACGGATTCCCGCGATCCGCCATCTCCGATCACTGCCGGTCACATGACCCGCCCATGTGACCACCGCGTGACACGGCCCCGCCCATTCCGGCCCCACACTGACGTCCACGAGAAGGATGGAGCTCCGATGGTGAGAGGAGGAGACAGGGCTGACACCGCCCCGCCCACTCTGCGCGTCTCGCCGCTCACAGTACGCACTGCACGATCCCGAGCGTGTCACGTGTCCCAGACCTGCTTCAGCCCCGCCCATCGCTGAATGTAACCAATAGCGTGGAGCCAGAGAGAGAGAGTCATATCCTGTGTAGTATTATCCTGTATATCCTGTATATACTGTGTCCTTCCTGTGTATACTGCACCCTGTGGGATATACTGCAGGTATACTATATACTGCAACACCTGTATACTATATACTATATACTGCACCCTGTATACTTATATACTGCACCCTGTATACTATATACTATATACTGCACCCTGTATACTGTCGCTATACTATATACTGCACCCTGATATACTATATAGCACACCCTAGTATACTGCACCTACTATACTGCACCCTGTATACTATATATCTGCACCCTGTATATACTGCACCCTGTATACTATATACTGCACCCTGTATACTATATACTATATACTGCACCCTGTATACTATATACTATACTGCCACCCTGTATACTATATACTGCACCCTGTATATACTGCACCCTGTATACTATTATACTATATACTGCACCCTGTATATATACTGCATGTATACTATATACTGCACCCTGTATACTATATACTATATATACTGCACCCTGTATACTATATACTATATACTGCACCCTGTATACTATATACTGCACCCCTGTATACTATATACTGCACCTGCACCCTGTATACTATATACTATATACTGCACCCTGTATACTATATACTGCACCCTGTATACTATATACTATATACTGCACCCTGTATACTGTATACTATATACTGCACCCTGTATACTATATACTACCCTATACTATAACTATATATGTACTATATACTGCACCCTGTATACTATATACTATATACTGCACCCTGTATACTATATACTGCACCCTGTATACTATATACTATATACTGCACCCTGTATACTATACTATATACTGCACCCTGTATACTTATATTACTATTACTGCACCCTGTATACTATATACTGCACCCTGTATTATACTGCACCTGTATACTGTATACTATATACTGCATGTATACTACAGTATATACTGCACCCTGTATACTATATACTATATACTGCACCCTGTATACTATATTACTGCACCCTGTATACTTATACTATATACTGCACCCTGTATACTACTGCACCCTGTATACTATATACTGCACCCTGTATACTATATACTGCACCCTGTATACTGTATACTATATACTGTATACTATTTACTGCACCCATGTATACTATATACCCTGTATACTGTATACTATATACTGCACCCTGTATACTATATACTATATACTGCACCCTGTATATATTTATGCACCCTGTATACTATATACTGCACCACTGGTATACTATACTATATACTGCACCCTGTATACTTTATACTATATACTGCACCCTACGTATACTATATACTGCACCCTGTATACTATATACTATATACTGCACCCTGTATACTATATACTGCACCCTGTATACTATATACTGCATATACTGTATACTATATACTGCACCCTGTATACTGTATACTATATACTGCACCCTGTGTACTATAATACTGCACCCTGTATACTATATACTGCACCCTGTATACTATATACTATATACTGCACCCTGTATACTATATACTATATACTGCACCCTGTATATACTATATACTGCACCCTGTATACTATATACTGCACCCTGTATACTGTATACTATATACTGCACCCTGTATACTATATATACTGCACCCTGTAACTATATACTATATGTATACTATATACTGCACCCTGTATACTATATACTATATACTGCACCCTGTATACTATACTATATACTGCACCCTGTATACTATATACTATATACTGCACCCTGTATACTATATACTATATACTGCACCCTGTATACTATATACTGCACCCTGTATACTATATACTATATGCTGCACCCTATACTATACTATATACTGCACCCTGTATACTATATACTATATACTGCACCCTGTATATACTATATACTGCACCCTGTATACTATATACTGCACCCTGTACTACTATATACTATATACTGCACCCTGTATACTATATACTGCACCCTGTATACTATACGATATTACTGCACCCTGTATATACTGCAAATCCCTGCCACCCTGTATACTATATACTATATACTGCACCCTGTATACTATATACTGCACCCTGTATACTATATACTATATACTGCACCCTGTATACTATATACTATATACTGCACCCTGTATACTATATACTATATACTGCACCCTGTATACTATATACTGCACTGTATATACTGCACCCTGTATACTATATACTATATACTGCACCCTGTATACTATATACTATATACTGCACCCTGTATACCTGCACCTGTATACTATATACTATATACTGCACCCTGTATACTATACTATATACTGCACCCTGTATACTATACTATATACTGCACCCTGTATACTATATATATACTGCACCCTGTATACTATATATATATACTGCACCTGTGTATACTATACTACTGCACCCTGTATACTATATACTATATACTGCACCCTGTATACTATATACTGCACCCTGTATACTATATACTATATACTGCACCCTGTATACTATATACTATACTATACTGCACCCTGTATACTATATACTATATACTGCACCCTGTATATACTATATACTATATACTGCACCCTGTATACTATATACTATATACTGCACCCTGTATACTATATACTGCACCCTGTATACTATATACTATATACTGCACCCTGTATACTATATACTGCACCCTGTATACTATATACTATATACTGCACCCTGTATACTACTATATACTGCACCCTACTATATACTGCACCCCTGTATACTGTATACTATATACTGCACCCTGTATACTATATACTATATACTATATACTGCACCCTGTATACTATATACTATATATACTGCACCCTGTATACTATATACTATATACTGCACCCTGTATAATACTATATACTGCCCTGTATACTATATACTATATACTGCACCCTGTATACTATATACTATATACTGCACCCTGTATACTATATATACTGCACCCTGTATACTGTATACTATATACTGCACCCTGTATACTATATACTATATACTGCACCCTGTATACTATATACTATATACTGCACCCTGTATACTATATACTATATACTGCACCCTGTATACTATATACTATATACTGCACCCTATACTATATACTGCACCCTGTATACTATATATACTATATACTGCACCCTGTATACTATATATATATATACTGCACCCTGTATACTATATACTGCTGCACCCTGTATACTATATACTATATACTGCACCCTGTATACTATATACTGCACCCTGTATACTATATACTATATACTGCACCCTGTATACTATATACTGCACCCTGTATACTATATACTATATACTGCACCCTGTATATATATACTATATACTGCACCCTGTATACTATATACTATATACTGCACCCTGTATACTATATACTATATACTGCACCCTGTATACTATATACTATATACTGCACCCTGTATAACTACTATACTGCACCCTGTATACTATATACTAATACTATATACTGCACCCTGTATACTATATACTGCACCCTGTATACTATATACTATATACTGCACCCTGTATACTATATACTACCCTATACTATATACTGCACCCTGTATATACTATATACTGCACCCTGTATACTATATACTATATACTGCACCCTGTATACTATATACTGCACCCTGTATACTATATATACTATATACTGCACCCTGTATACTATATACTATATACTGCACCCTGTATACTATATACTGCACCTGTATACTGTATATATACTGCACCCTGTATACTAAATACTATATACTGCACCCTGTATACTATATACTGCACCCTGTATACTATATACTATATACTGCACCCTGTATACTATATACTATATACTGCACCCTGTATACTATATATACTGCACCCTGTATACTATATACTATTATACCCCCTGTATACTAAATACTATATACTGCACCTGATGATATACCTGTATACTATATATATATACTGCACCCTGTATACTATATACTACCCTGTATACTATTATACTATATACTGCACCCTGTATACTATATACTGCACCCTGTATACTATATACTGCACCCTGTATTACTATATATACTAATATACTGCACCCTGTATACTTATATATATACTACCCTGTATATAATAATGCCTGCACCCTGTAATACTATACTATATACTGCACCCTGTATACTATATACTATACTGCACCCTGTATACTATATACTATATACTGCACCCTGTATACTATATACTGCATATATACTGCACCCTATAATATACTATACTGCACCCCTGTATACTAACTATACTATATACCCTGTAAACCTGTTACTTATATATACTATATAAAAAATACCCTGTATACTATTTATACTGCACCCCTGTATACTAACTATACTACTGCACCCTATATATACTGCACCCTGTATACTATATACTGCACCCTGTATACTATATACTATATACTGCACCCTGTATATACTATACTATGTTATACTATATACTAACTGCTCCTGTATACTATATACTATATACTGCACCCTGTATACTATATACTGCCCCCGTAATACTATATACTGCACCCTGTATAAATATATATTATACTGCAACCCTGTATACTATATATACTGCACCCTGTATACTATATACTATTATATACCCTATACTTATATACTGCACCCTGTATTATATATATATACTG